TTGTATGCTCTTCTGTGCTTGTTGAGTTATGGATGTTTTGCTCGTTTCTTTTGTCCTATGACCACAGAATCACTGAGAATCTGAGTGATCGAGTTTCGAGCTGAAGTTTTGCCCATAGATGATAGACATCATGGTTATTCGGAACACTCCAAATTTTCAACTGAAACAAACATATCCTTGCTGAGCTATGTTGATTCACTTATAACATCTGTGTGTCAACGAAATTCGATCATTCAGCAAATAATTTCAAATGAAAAACGATTGAACATTCGATCGAATGAACGAGACTTTTTAACAAAGTTTGAACAGATATCGTACGACTCTTCAATATTTAAATCATTGAGACGTTTAAATAGCAATTTTGAGTGATGTGTCGAGACAATGAAGTAATGCCAATCGATTAATCAAATTTTATTAGACTTACAAGATTTTTTTGTGAATTTAAGCACTTTTATTAACCTGTCATTCTTCCATAGGTATGAAATTTATGGACAAAAATAAGCCTTAGACAATTTAGTTAAAAGTCACACGGATGATGAACTTTGAGAACAAGCACTGGGAGGAGCGAATCGTCCCTCGCTTCCGAAATATTTTTCATTTTTTCTCAGCAGAAAATGAGCCGATATGATCTCTAATGGACTTCAAAACACATTTTGTGATCATGGCCATTCTCCACTTCCAAAATCTTAGATTCACCACTGGGTCGTGAAGTTTCATATTAAGACAATTTGCACTTATAAAATTCTTTAGCTGTTGTCAATCTATAGGTTTTTTAGGCATTCTTTGTTATTCGTCTTCGTAAACCGTTTGCATCATACGCAACTATAAATGATACCGATACTCTTATTCAGTGTGATCTAATGGATACACGAAATGCATTTTTATATTTTGCTCATGATCGACATCATGAATTTTTATCTTTACGTCGTGCAAAATTTTCTACAATGGCATTATTATATGAATTACATATATCAACAAAAGATAAATTTAAATCTAATTGTAATACATGTCGACAACATTGTGATATTCTTAATCATTGTACAATATGTGAAGATTTTAATTTATGTGAAACATGTTATAATATTGAACCAACACATGAACATAGAATGAAGCGTTCTGTTCCATCAATAGTGTTGAAGATTGTGATCGAAATTCCTCAAACTCAAATGATAATTCTATTTCTAGTTCACAATCACAACGTCAACGATCAGTGCAACATTGTATTGAAGCATTATCACATTCTGGTAATTGTCGAAATTCTACATGTGATAAGTGTAATTGCTTTCGTTATAAACGTATTATACAACATACTAAAGAATGTATAGGACCAAATAATCAATGTAATGTATGCAAACAATTTATATTTGTTTGTTGGTATCATGCTAAAATTTGCATGGATCAACACTGTCAAGTTCCATTTTGTATTAATTTAAAATCTAAAATACAAAAACAACGAGCAACTAGTTTACAAATAGATAGCAGTCTTGACTCAAGTTATGATGCAACAAATAACAAGCACAATACAATTACAATCACTATGTAAAGAAATTGTATTAAAATTATAAAGAAAATCTTGCTTGTTCTATATTGATTATATTTAAAGTTGATTTTGAGAGTTGAAGGAGAAGCAACATAATGTAACAAATAATTTTCTCGATGTCTTCTCTCTACAGGGTCAATAAGGTTTCATATTTATACCATCTATAGTAGATATGTAAGTCAAAGATGATCAAGTTAAATTTAGTTCTACTACATATATTGAACTGCATATAACCATGAAGCATTTACCTAAGAAGAAACACGATACTTCATATTACTTTAAACTGCTAGATGCTTTTAAGGTACTTTAAAGTATAAAAGTATCAAGTTGACTCCTTGCATTGATCACTACTTCATCTAGCTTTATTTTTCCGAGCATTCATTTGTTTGAATTCTTGATTCAAAGTCCTGTCCTGTAGATCATAATTTAAGGCTCTATTGACTGATACATGTCCTATACAAAAACAGTGCTTAAAATTCCAAAACTTATTTTTTTGGTATTTTTCTATAAATCCCAACGTTTATGTTATCATCAAATGAAAAAAGCAAGGCTTGCGCTAGGTATCTAGCCAAGAATGAGGATGAAGGCTGAGTTTTGAGAAGTAAGATTCTCTTTTAATAAAGTTAGAATGTATTGTATTCTATTGATAAATAAGTTCACTTGAATTTGCTCGTTTAAATCAATCCAATAAATTTTTCAAAAGGAGATCTCAATAGCTACTCAAATCGGCACTAAAAAACGTAGTGCCGCACATCCTTATTCATGAAACATCACGTGATTGATATTATTCATAATCTAAATATGAGAAAAAATGCTTCAACATTCGAAATTCTTCATATAAGTGCTGAAAATTACGTTTTGCAGTATCAATTCCTCTGTCTCATGCTGATTCAAGATCAACTTCCTTTTTTATATCTTTTGATGACTTCTCATTGTCAGATCAAATATATTAGATCTTCTTCTTACCCACAGTCATATCCACATCCTTTTCAATTGTTTAGGCTGAATTTTGGTAGTGAGACATAAAGAACGCATTCTTCATTTCGTACTTTGGCAGAGTGCTTGTTTAGAAATCACACTTCGAGCATCATGATGTATGAGGTGCCACTCAGGTAATGAAATTCTGATTTTATTCGATGAGGTGAGGAAGGCACGAATCTTTTTACGCAATAAGTAGAAATAAATTTATTGTTGGCATCAGCTAACCTTTCTAAAGTTTGATCTTTTATAATACGAGAACAAGAGACATATCATCAACCGAAATGTCAAAACTTTGCAATATCCTGTGCATCGCTCCGTTGCATGCCAACAGAAATAACAAAATGTTGTTCTCATTTAAAAAACAGCTGCAGTAACGACAGTAACTTTTTTTTTCTTCAATTCCAATCATCATGGTACTGTGTTGATGAAAGCAGCTTTTTAAACGTTCTCTCCTTCTTTTTCTATTCGTTTCGTTCGACACTGACAACACACTGTTTACATTGTCTACATACCTTTCTCAACTTATCGAAAAAAGACTGAATTGAGACAAAATTAATTCCTGATATGACGAATGTATCAATTATTATTGACCAGCAATGTGCGTTGCTAAAGAACCAAGCTACCTCACTGACTACTGAACAACTCAAAAAATGTTTTGACATTATTGTTTCTGAATTGACAAATTTTAAATTTCCGAGCAATATTAATGCAATTCAACAAATACTGACATCCATTACTATTGATGATACCAATCTTTACAGCGAATCTGTTATCGTTGGTCATCCACTATTTTCAACTATTCGGGATTGTTATCTCAACATTTTGCGTCAATGGCGAAGCGGTCAATCAATCGAGCCAATGTCTCGGATAGTTTTCTCTCGAGTATCAATTTTATTCGCACTTATGAGTGATCATATAACTGAAACCAACGTTAGCTCATTCAAACAGCTTCTCATTCATCAGCCTCTTATCGACGAGCTCAGCGGATGCCTTATTGAGATTGCAACAAATGGAAAATATCTACAAGATGCTCAGATAAAGACTATTGATTCCATGATCAAAGCTATTAATCATCTTTCTAGACGACGACTCAATATTCAAAATAATCCCGTATCCGAGTCGCTTTTGAATGCCACAGTTCAATGTGTATGTTCGCCATTTTTTGTCAACATATTTAAACAAGTAACTGAACTAATTGAACTCAACGATGCACAAGAATTATTGTTGAACACATGTACCGATTATATTGTTTGCTATGAAGGTAACCGTCGTCATGAGATATTTTCTATTATTCGCACAATTTTGTTGAAACCTTTCACGCAATGGTTACAACAACATGCATCGTCTTTTCGACAATGGAATAGAATCACCAAAAGTTCTTTTGATAAACTCGGTGGTATTATATTCGATTTTGGTTTGCATAATGAGAAAATTATCGGTAAAGATACATACGACGATTGTTGCAAAATTATTGATTGTTATATTCTCATTTTATCCACATTATCAAATAATATCAATGCAATTGATGAATCAACTATCGATTTGCTAGGTATTTGTATGTTTCATTTATATGCGTTGACATTAGAACAGAGCCTACTTGATTATATTAAAAATCAACAATTATCTTCAATATTATTACGATTGATTGATATTGACAATGAAGAAGCACAATTTAATGCTTATCGTATTCTAGCTTCAATTATGACCGAACAAGATATTAAGATGTTAGCAAATCCAGGCAAGATTTCAAAAGTCTTTATCACATTTCTCACCGATGTTATTGATAATACGAGAAAAATCCGGCGACTTCGAAATCTGCTTCGTTGCCTCAAGTGTAAGTACATTTTTCTGTCTGAATTTACAAGAAAACATTCTTTTGCATTCGATTGTAATGAATTTCTTATGTAGGTTTGGTTCAACATGATCAAATCAAAGAAGAATTGACTAAACAAGGTATATTGCCGCATCTTCTTCGATGTGCAACAGAAACTAAATTCGATCCTGTACATGAACAACAACCAACACTCGAAATTCTTCTTGCACTGACTTTTCATGATCAAGCAGCAATATTACTCAAGGAAAATTCACAATTCATCTCACATCTTCATACACTCATCAATTCATCATCCGAACAAGGTTTACGGCGAGCTGCCGAAGGTTTGCTTTGGAAATTAGAAAAAGAAGAAATAGCAACTGCCAAGTTAGTCACCATTCCGATTACAAAAGATGTTCGCCATTATAAATACGACATCATGTTGAGCTATTCTCATCGTGACAAAGATCTGTGTCATCGAATTTATGATCGTCTAGTAAAAGATAATTTTCGTATATGGATTGATAGAGATCAAATGCATGGATCGACCATGGTTGCCATGGCTGATGCTATCGAAAACGCTGAATTTGTGTTCGTGTGCATGTCGGATGCCTATAAACAAAGTGCTTACTGTCAATCTGAAGCTCAATATGCTTATGAACGTCAATGTCACTTGATACCGATTGTAATGAAACAAAACTATCGACCCGATGGATGGTTAGGTATTATGGTCAGTGGAAAAATTTACGTGGATTTTCCTAAACTTGGTTTCGATCAAGCCTATCTGAAATTGAAAAATGAAATCGATCGATATAGGCTGAACATGAATCTTTCAATCAGCACTCAAGAACAACAACGATGTGAGTCGCCTACGACAGCAAAAGTACCTGAAAGAACAATTGAAACGATAACAGATCAGTCAGATGAACAACCAACAATAACGAAGTACGTTACCTATGATGCTAATTGTCAGACAGAAAGTAACAGGATAAGTCTAAGCTACTTTTTTTTTCTTTATAAATTCGATGAAAATCTGTAAATCTCCAATGTATAGTCATGATTTTCATTTTGCAGACATTAAAAAATTTTTACACTGTTTTCTGTATATTCGAAGTGATTTACCACATTGTATCGATCAATGGACAAAAGATCATGTCAAATTGTTTCTTCGCAACAAAAATCTCGAAAGTCTTCTTCCGATATTTGCCACTATGAATGGGCGTCTACTCCATCAAGTGTATACAATGTGCATTACGAATCGAGAATCAATGTTTCAAAAATTAAAAGATGAAATATCTGCCGATAGCCAACAGAAACCATTGACTTTAAGTACTTATCTTTGTTTTCTGGATGAAATTCAGCAATATATTCCTCAGACGCCTGGTAATCATTCGTCGACTTCTGTGATTTGTATTTTGATGTAGAAAATATAGTTCAGAAAAATAAATATGATGTGACAAACAAGTCTATTCGCTGTTGAAGAGAATCTTATAATGTTTCGTTCTGTTGAATTTGCACTTATTCTCATCCCTGATTATTGAGATGGTTAAGGGATCTTGAAGAATAGACGGTTCAAAATATCTGTGAAATCTTCATTCACAAATGAAGAGATTACAAAGACATCTGTTCTACGTAGTAAAGACATTTTTTTCTCATCACTCAATTCCTTTTTCTTTATGAACTTGTTGTGGAAACATATGATAGACCAAAAATCAAATGATGCAGGATTGTTGTTTTCAAGAATATTTCATCGACAAAGAAAGTCTACAAGAGTCTTTGATGAGAACTTTAGTTCATCCAATGCACATTCAATATTTTACTTCTAACTTTTCAATTAAGATAAATGATGATTTCAGTTCAGATCTATATTTTCAAATTAAAGAGCTATTCATCATTCCTCAGTGTTCAAAGACACCTGTTCGTATTGAACATGAAATTCGAAGTCGTCATAAGATCAATCTGTACTTTTTGTAGATGAGGAATTAGAGCATTTGTTATTCACAAAGTGTTTCTCATTACATGAAGCAAGCTATGGAATTCAAATGAGATGTGTTTTTTTTTTCAAATTGTCACCCGCTTCTCATTTAGCCATGAACGAGGAGCAATTCGATGAATTGCATTGTAATCGGCAAACAAAAACGCTCACCATATTATCAATGATTTTGCCAAATGCGTTGACAATGTCTGATTGCAAAACATAAACAGCATTCACACAACTGAAATTTGCCGATCATCGTGTCATTGCCAAAACCTTATTATTATATGATTGACTACGAATTTTATCAATATGATCAGATTGACAATATTAGTGATCGATGGTAGTTCATACTATGCACCGTTTTTCTCTCGATCTCTTCCTTTTATATTGTCTCACGTATTCAGATCATTGGGAAGTCAAACCGAATGAAACGCTATTCGATGATGCACAGAGACAATGGATAAATATTGATCAATTTAGAATTTAATAGAAAAATAATGACAATAGTTTTACAATTTTATTGAATAATTAAATAAAGAATTTCATAGAAAATAGAATGTCTATGCTTTCGTGGACTTCCTTCCTTTCATATGGTGTAGTTGACCTTGTGTTTGGGATGCTTCAAGGGCCAACATTTGTGTCATAACACCTACGCGTCGATGTTGTCTACAATGTATGACATTGAAAAATTCTTCTCGAAATAATCGACTTGATAAGCAGTGAATATAGAATGAAGCCTAAAAAAATTTACTATGATAAGAGATCATTCATAATGAGCTCTCCGCCAACAGAGAGCATAGGAGGCTGGTGGAAGGATACCAATGTAAAAAGAAGATCAAAAATTAGAAATGACCTTTTGTTTTCAGTTTAAATAGGGAAAAATATAATCATATTTATTAGTAACAGTTTTCTTCCTTGTTCTAAAAAGAATGAAACGACGCTAAGAAGTAAAAACAATACAGAAAAATAATGAGTCTACATCTATTCTTGTATCAATTAGTCAGGCAATGATTGTTTTTTGATCTTTATTCTTGGAGAAATATATTTTTTCTGAGATAAGTTATTATCTGTGTAACAAGTGGCCAATACTTCGAACTTCACTCTGGCTGATAATTTGTCAGTATATTATTCCATATGTCACATATCCTCAGTATATAAATAATATAACTATTCCAAAATGATCCATCATATTGTTTTAAAATGTTGGTTTTGTCAGGCAAAATCCTCTTTTATACTACTCATGACCATTTCCAAGAGAAATAATGGTGGTATTCTGGATCAGCCTATCGATCTGTACCAAACGTAAAAATCAAGCAGATTTTATTCTAGTTGAATTTGTACATTGCTTGATAGGGTGTGATGATCTGATCACGGATATATAGTTTTTAACATTTTTTTGAGCAATCTTTTGAGTGAGAAAATTTGAAAAAAGTCGAAAGATCTAAATCCTGAAAAAATTGAGTCTGTTCAGAAGAAAATTTCATATTCTTTATTTGTGTTGTGCAAACATTTTCAACAAAAACGAAGTATCAAAAGTGTATTTCATTGACTTTTAATTGAAAGGTTTGACTAGTACAGCTGTATCGAACGCTTCTACTACAGTATGTCTTTATGCAACATTGTACAAAAAAAGATATCTTTGTGAAACTTGTCTTTCAGCAGTTCGAATTAGATAATACACTACATTGTATATCTTGGTAGAAAAAAAATATTGGATTTTATTCCGAACTGACTGAATTTTTTCACTTTTTAACTCTTTCGAGATCTTTCAAATTTTCTCAATCAAAAGATTGCCTAAAAGAAATTAGAACTCATATATTCGTAATGAGCTCATCAAACTCTATCCAGCAATTTAAAAATGAAAATAAAATAAAATCTGCTCGTTTTGTGGATTTGGTGCACCCTATGACACTAAAACTTTGAGTGAAAAAATTTCCGCTGAAATTTTAGCCCATAAAGTAAAAAAATATTTTCTCTAAGGAAAATTTTTCATATCTACATCATGATTATCATAATTGTTCACTGTGTAGGAGTTTCAGAAATAAATATTCAACTTACAGCATAATTGATTGAAGCAACGAAAGTGACAATAGTATTAAGCTGAAGTAATTGTTGTAGCCCAAGTTCATTGCGAAGAACAGAAAAGATAAGAAGAGTGAAGAGACTTAATGGGATTTGTGTGATAAAGAAGAGAAAGATACTAGTGAGCATAATTATTAACATTTGTCGATCAAGAAATGTACGACGACGACCTTGTTTCAATTGTTGTTTTTTTTGTTGTTGATGATGAAGTCCAATGAACATTTTAATACTGAATATGAGAAGAAGTGTTGTAGGTAAGACAATTTGAAGAGTGGTTATTAGAATAGGCCAAATCTAAAAAGAATTAATAGATGTGTTGTTAATTAAGACAATTTCATATAAAGAAACATACTTCTGTGTAGAAGTATTGGTAGGTAGGATTTGACATAGGATTAGGAGCACATGCGATAGCACCAGGTACAACGCCTAGTGATGGTAGCAGTAAATGGGAATTGAGTGCAATTGAAAATATGAGGATAATGAATGCACCAATAAGTACTCTTTTTTTCGTACACAATTCTTTGACTCGAAAAGGAAATTGAACACGAAGCCAACGATCCATTGTGATTGATAACAGGAGCCAAGCTGAACAACACATCGAAAAATATTGAATAAATGAACGAAAACGACACAATGCATTCATAAGATTGATATTTGTTGTGGGAACATCAAAGCCAAGAAAGACAAAATCATAGATACACATAAGCAAATAGATTGTATCGGAGGCAGTCATACATACGAACAGACAACTTGTCGAAACAGTACGAAGGGTTCGACGAAGAAAGATGGTTACACTTGTTGTGTGACCGAAAAAACCAAAGAGGAACAGACAAATGTAACCGTAGAAAGCCAAGTTTCTTTCGATAGATGTAACCAGAACTGAACCAAAGTCCGGCGGAGGTCCCATTCCGCCACTACCACCAGGAGGGAAATTGTTGCTGTTGCTACTGTTATTCATTTATGCTTGTAGATGCGTTGTATATATGAAAATAACAGAGTATTTCATATATATATATATATATATATATATATACTGTGAATAGACGCTGTCGAAGAGTAACTGTAGGCAAATAAATCTTTGCCGGACCAATGTCCTGATAAGATAAACATACACGGATTTATTTTTAATATTAATATCAACAGCTGATTATCAATCTTTTTTGTGCGTCAAGTAGCAAATCTTGTAATGTGCTGGAACTGACAAAGATTTCATAATGTGCATAGACTGGATTGAAATATTCGTTCCACATATGTTGCAGATGAATCTGGAATTTAGTTGTGATTGGGATAAGGTTTTTCGAATTTTCTCATAAGAAATATCGTTCAGGTATAAAATTAAAGCATTGCTATTGTAGTGAGTATTTTGTTTGTTTTTCTAGAACAAGTATAAAATTTCATCGTAATTTTCCTAATAACGCCGACATGGGATATTGAATGATTCATGAAATTAAAAAAGTTCTAATACTCTTTTTTTTAGGCGAGCAGGAGTGTGGAATGAGTAGTTTTCAGAAACAAGAGTATATTGCATTACATATTTGTTTTATAATTATGATATTAAAGTGTAGTAGATTCTTGTAAGCGCTAATGAAATTGAAAGTTAAATTTTTTTTGCTAACAACTATAATCGATAGGATATAATGCATAATATTCTAGGTAAATTTCCAACTGTGGACTCTCCAGTACGAGAGTAAAAAAGACCTCGAGAAAAGATTTTAGTTTTTTTTAATTATGCTGTGCATTCTAATCTCAACTATGGCATTCCCATGACATCTGTGACATATATCTATTGAAAAAAACAAATTATCTGTTGGCTAATGATAATCAACAGCAGATGAGTTACTTATATTTTTTTTCTTCTTGCGCTTGTTTCACATTCTTCTACTATTCAAGTATATTTACCTGGAGATTTTTAAAGAAGATGATTTGATATGGCAAACATGCTCCGTTCACAGAGAAAAATACACTGTTCGATTCATCTTTTCAAGATGCGTCGATTCATGCTTCGTCAAAATACTGTTGCTCGCATGTTTTGGATAATGAAGAAAACAAAGTAAAATACATAACAGACTTATTTTCTGTTCCTAATGCTATCAGTCAGTGAGCGCAATACATAGGCGTTTCGAAAAAGATAATACTTTAAGTGAAAAGTTTAACTCCATATAATTCTTATATCAAAATAAAGTGCCGGCAATGGACTACATAATCATGTAAAGATCATAACAAACGAACTTTGTTCCAAGTGTGGATGTGGGGTATAGGTTAACTATAAGTGTACTGTTCATTCCCATTCACGTCGCACACGCACCCTTATAGTAAAACTCTCATACTCAACTAGTCTTCAACTTAATAATTCAACTAAATACTTCGTTTGACTAACTCGATAAATTCAATTCGATGATTCTGTGCACCATTCAGCTATTCAATACATTCATCCATGCATTCATTGATCAAATCACTCGAATGTGTTCGTTTTACTGTATTCTTTTAATTAAGCATTGGACAGAATCATTCTTGATGCAAGCAATAGTAGCAATGAGTACTAGTGAAGTTACAGAAAATGTTGCTGTTCTGTACTGATAAGAATATCAAACGGTTAAATAACATTGAAATGTGATTGTTGAAACGGTTTAAAAGTGAGAAATTTGGAAAAAATCTAGATCACATCTGACTCGACGTGTTACGACTTCCTATATGATTTCCACGAAAAGGATTACGATAACTTCTGACATCATCAGTAGAGTAGCAGTCGTGCTTCCGTCAGACAAAATTTGGATTGTTGAGAAAGTTCTTGTCGGAACGGAGGAAAATTCAAATCTGAATGTTCGTCCTACTGAAAGAAACGACTGAATAAATTATCTGATAGATTGTGTCATACATCCTACGAAATCTTACTCATAGCTGGAGAAAACATATTGTATGATCATGTTCGATCACGTCAGACTTGACAATATACTCCTTTAAAACTTGTAAATGCTGTTTTGCCACAGATGATGATGTGAGATTAACAAATCAGTTTAGGTATGATTGCATCGAAGTTCCCTGCAATTTCGTAAGACAATTATAATATAACAGTAAGATTTCGTCAGGCTCATGCAAAGTTTCATCATGCAATTTGTTTGATCGGAGCACTCGTAATAACATGTACCAAATGAGTCATAATATGCCATTTTATTCAAGCAAAAAAAGCCTGAAGTGATCGCCGAAACTTGATGTTTGTGAAAAAAGGAAGTAGATGGAAATATATAAATACTCAGGTAAACGATTCACTCTGTTCTATAATTGCTGTGATAAAAAATAACGTCAAAATAACCGTTTGACTTACGCATTTACTGAGTGAAAGTGATGTTCATCGGCTCACTGCTGATACTCTGGATTGTTCAGTATTTCAACAGTAATGGAGTTGCTTCTATGTTCATAAAAACTACTGGTAACAATGCAATAACGCTTGAACGATATCAACAAATTCGATTGGGGTGGACACGTGATCAAGTGACACAATTTGTTGGTAGTCCTGGAGAATTGATTATTCCAGAAGAACCAATATCACCATCTAATCGAGGTAATATTATGGTTCAATATCAAGGCTCAATACTATCAAACGTATTAGAAAGAGAGTCTACGGTGATATTTTCATTTAATAATGGGATTCTTTGGAAAAAGAACCAAAAACTACTTGATCTAACATCAAATTATATAATCACAAGAGAACGTTATAATCAAATACAAGCTGGTTGGACATATGATCAAGTAAGATCAACTATTGGAAGTAGAGGAAATGTTATACAAGAAGCAAACATTTGGCCAAATATAACATTAATGACTGTTCTATATCAAGGCGAAGGCCAAGAAGGAGTTGAAAGTATTGGTTATATTCAACTTGGATTTTGGGATGGAAAATTACAATCCAAACCAGGATATGAATGGGTGGCTGTCAGTCCAACTATTCGTAGTTCCACTCATATATCTAGAACAAATGCCCTTCTACCAAATGATCGAATAACGTTTCAACAATACCAACAAATTCAATTTGGATGGACACGTGATCAATTAACGCAGTACGCTGGTAGTCCAGGATAAGTTATGCCATCCATTGCTAATAATCCAGATACAATTCTAGTACAATATCAAGGTTCATCATCTAGTATAATTGTGATAGCAGGGTTTAGGTTTGTAAATGGAATTTTGTCTACAAAGGCGCAATTTAACTTCGATTTTACAACAAATTATAAGATAACAAAAGAACAATATAACATGATTACAATTGGATGGACATATCAGCAAGTAACAGTAGCCTTTGGAAATCAAAAGGGAAATGTGGTGTCAGAATCTGGTGCACAAGGATTTACGTCAATAGTGGTTCAATATACTGGCATCAAAGAAGAAGGACAACAAGTGGATAGTATTGTCACACTTGGATTTTCAAATGAGATATTAGTTGCTAAATCACAATACGGATAGTCATAATAATTAAACGAGCAGTCATTTTGGATGCGTTTTCTTATTTTCATTTATTCAAGAAGCACTCTTTTTTTATGTTTTTTAAAAGATCTTTTTAATAAGTAATCAAGCGGTCTACTCTATCAATACTATCTATATTTTGAGTGTTGATAAGGAAAAAACTAGCTTCGCTTTTTGCTTCTTTAAAACTGAAAGATATGGATGACATGGCAAATTTTCATAATGATAACACTTGTCAAGTAGGTATATGACATATGAGCGAAGTCCATAGTGCAAAATCGGTGTGAATCACTTGTTCAAACCTTCATTCTCGTTAGTAAAATATTTATGTAGTGGGTGTGGGTGTGAGTGTCGGTTTGGCTAAAGAGAATACACAACCCACACCCATATCCATACCCTTAGAACGTTTCCAAGGGAATGTGAGGCCCTTCTGTGAGAATAGGAAGCGATTATTATCGTAAAATGTGTTTTGATGCTCATTAGAGGTAGTATAAGCTCACTTTTTAGTCTTGTCTACTAGGACAAATTGAAAAAGTTCTTTTAGAATGAAGGCGATCGAGGTGAGGGTGTGAACAAGCCGAAGACCCACACCCAACATTATTTATTGAGGCTATAAATGAGTATGGGAGTGGGTGATTTCTTCTGAAATATAGACAATCCTTTATGTGCTTAAAGTGTATCATTGAAAATGAATTGTATTCTTTGAATCGATTTTTCTTTTATTTAAGTTTATAGAACTCGGCAAATCGAAAGTGAAGAAAAATTATTAAACAACTTTCTTATTTGCATTCTGATATTTTAACAAAATCAACCATTCTCAGTAGACGATCTGATCTTTCTAACAACAATTATTAATAATTATCATGAAACGAAATAATTGCCACAAAAATCGTCGTATGTTTTTTCAAAAAATTCTGATCATTGGACATATTCGATTTGTCAATACATCAAATGATTGAAAGAAGTAATGAAAACAATTTAATCTGAAAACAAGAGACTCTTGCTGCCTTTTATGTTGAGAATTGCTTCAAAAGTCTTATAACCATCTGCAACATATAAAACAACCTTTATATTTTTGTTATTATCGGAATTTATATGTTATATTCGATGAAAGCTTATTAAAGTTTTTTTGTCAACGAATAAATAATTTGGATTTTTTTAAATGCTTCGATATGACATCGACCATACTACACAATCAACAATTCGTACGGTTTCTTCTTTTGTAACAATGTGTTTATTATAGAAGCATGTAATACAGAAATTTTCAAATATTTTGAGCGACATTTACTTTTAAGTTAAATATTCGAAACATTATTTAATGCATTAGACTTAAGTTAATTATCAAAATAATGGATACGAGATACTCTTAATATATTGCTACAGAAAGAAAGAAAAATAAAACTTTTACGTGCCGTCTGTATTCAACTTTGAGCTTGTTAATATTTAGATTTCTTCTCGTCTTGAATATTTTCAGTTTATCTTTCTATTGTTTGTGTTTTATTTTTCAATTAAAACTAAAAAATAATCTTGCAAAAAGAAATGCATGATTATTTCTTTTCTACGTTGTGCTCATGTACAATATAGAAGCGTACAAAAGAAAAATAAACATGATATTGATTGTTGTTAACTTTCAGACTATTCTTTTCAACGAAATACAATTGATGCATTGAAAAAAAAATATTAGTGTAATTCTTGTGAGATAAAATGCGAAATATTATGTAGTGATTATTGCGAATCACAGGAAGATTGCTTTATTCTATTCGATTTTTGGATACATTGCTTTACCATCCTTTTAGTTAATTCTACATAAATGTAATAAGCAAGTCATTCATATGTTATAACGAGATAGGATTGATATACAGTCGCGGTCATGTGCCAAGACCGCTTCCCATGATTAGAGATGTATGAAACCGGGACGATGAGATAGAGAAGTTATTAAGATTGACATCTGGACTCAGAAAAAAAATTTGTCTCAATCGGAATGAAAGATTATAGCTAAATATGCAATGATTTAAAACGTATTCTCTAATAAATTATGTCAATCGAAATATAATACGAAAGAGATAAGTGTAGGTGTTGATATGGATGCGGATAATTGAAAAGAAGACCCTCATTCATATCTACTCAACTATCATTGTACTCCTTAAGAGCAAGAAGTAAATGCTACAGAAATGTTCAAAATCTTTCGAAATTGCTCCAAAACATCTCTTTCATATCATTCAATCGATGAAAATGATCAAGCGGGCCATAAACATTATGATTAATCATTCCTTGAACAGTAGAAAGAGAAAATCGAAAACAAGTGAATTAGACTAGAGCATTGATATATAAAATGAGAAAAACTTAGATCGATATTTCGAAGACAATAGAATCTTCTCGTGAAACTAATTTCGTTTTTAAGACAACACTTCAATGTCTTTGAGGCATAAACTTTATCCTCTTGGTCTGTGTCTATGACAAAAATCAGAAATAAATGCCATTTGAATCTTTTATAATCCTAGATTGAACTGTAGAATGAGAGACAAACTCAACAGTGTCTTCAATCAATTGAATGGTAACATCGTTTCGGTGAAGTCCAATGACACACAATCTGGAGGTCATCTGTTAGTTCTAACTATTCAATGAATACTCTCAACTTGTACGATCTAGCATGTTTCTACTGGCTGATTTTGAATCATTCAGATGTCATTTCAGCGATGACATCTGACTATGATAGGCAGCATATTTATTTTCATTGTTTCAAGGCTTTATATCTGAAGTTAGTTGCATGAATTCGTATGCTTCTACAGCAAATATATTTTATATATCATGATTTTCTGTATATTTATTATCAAGGAAAGAGTATGTGTATGCTTGTATAGGTATCGGATTGTATGAACATGAAGAAACAAGGTAAAAACAATCGTCGCTTTCTTACTTGTGTACATTAAAAAGATAAATAGCAAGTGTATCAGTCTTATCTTGTTCGTGAAGCATTGCTTTGAACTATCGCATTTCTGTTACTTGATTTTATTCATTTGTATCTTCATTCAGTTCTTCTTCTTTTTTATACAACGATTTCTCTAAGGTAAGCACTTCATTTCTTCGAGACTTTTCTATTTCATAAGCGACTTATACATATTTTTACAAGCAATATTTTGCTGACAGGATAGCTTTCAGCTCCAAAAAACAAATCTGAACACTGCCATCCTCAATTTCTAGTGTCCATTGCTGGATAGAGATAAAATTAAGACCAAACGATGCAGCGCTTCCCAAATAAGTCAGTTAGAAGGGAGATCCTAAAGACTTTATTTCGTATTATCATGCTAATCATATAGGACTAAACCTTTTTCTCCACACAAAAAGAAGCGTTATCGAACAAAACAACTTATACCGAATACTATAGTTATTTGTGAACTATTCTGTCACATTCAGTGCAGTATCGACCAAGAACTAATTCTGTTGATATAATTGAAATGTTTTCATTTCATTAAGACTCACTGTCGTCAAAAATCTTAGTTATTGTAAAAAATATGAAAACATAGGGACTCTACTGGCCTACTGCTCCTCTCTCATCGTTAGATAGTCACAAATATAAAGTGAGCTTATGAAAGACACTTTTTTTCTTGTTTCTTTACTATTGTGATCGAAACTCAACATAGGTTTTAAGATTTGTTGTCCATTTTTACCCGTTAAATACGTTGTTATGAATATTTTTGTTAATTTGAGTGGATAAACGTATTTCTATGCGTGTGCAGAACTTTGTTTTCTAGCATTTACCAATTTCTGAAACGACGGTGAATGTAACCATAGTTTAATGCATAACAAGTTTTCTATTTTTAATTTGCACAAAATATATTTCTATTGATTTAACCTAAACTAAATCGATTCTCGTCTAAACTCTTCTGGCTCAATTAGATAGAAGGTTGAAAATTCTTTTATTGTGGTAATATAAACTCTATCATGCTTTTCCTTTTCAGTTCGAAGCAAAATCGATAATTACTTCGTCGGCTAGTGACATACTTTTATATCTTCAGATACATTCAATCACATTCTTTAATTATATAAAATACAAGAAAACAATTGATAGTAAACAAGTGGCCTGCTCTTTTGAAAAATTATAGTCTGTAATATCTCACTATATGCATCTGAAAAGATGTGAGTAGTGAAAGAGATACTGGTCACTTATTGTGTTTAGAAATAATCTGTGTGTTAGTTCTTTGTAGTTGAACCACGTATAGATGACAAACAAGAAGAATTTATTAGTTGACCAGAATATTGAAGGAGCATTCAGAAATAATTATGTCAAAGCTAAAAACATTTCACTCGATACTCTTATTCTTGCTAGTTCATAGAATTTGCGATGAGAGTGTGGGTGTGATCATTTTTCACCGACAGACAGTCACACTCATACCTAGATATTCAACTATCCATTTATTCGGATAAGATACTCAGATATTAAATTATTCATTCATTAGGATAAGATGTTCACTATCTGAACATAGGTTTCGAGTTTGATATGTATGAACATTGACATGTTTAATGAGTGATAAACGAACAGTATTGTAATCGACGGAGAATATATAAAACATTAAAACAAAGCCATATCTACTAGAGACATCTTGATGTATACGGAACGC